TAACTGAAAAAATGTAATATGAAAGTTATTTGAGAACTTAAAAAAAATCTTAAAGAGCACCAAAGATCAAGCAAAGTGATATGATGGTTAGTAACACTTTGTATTATTAACAATTTTGAAAATAGAAAGGGTGAAAAAAGAGAGACAGCCTTTGAATTGGGTTGATGTCTATTTCATTGCCTGCTTATGAGTTACACAAACAATGGCTGACACTTAATGGGTTTGGGATTCACATAGAGATGGTGATGGGCTCAGAGTATAGTAGCTCACTTAATTTAAGGACAAAGATGGGAGTCTTTCATTTAAATAGACACTTAAAAGCATAACATTTAAAAAATTAAACACTTGTGTTAGGTGTCAAGTTAGTTCCGATCCATATGCACAACAGAAGTAAACACTGACAGTCCTGCAACCATTCCCATGCCTGAGCCCACTGTTGCAGCCACAGTGTCAATCCATCTTGTTGAAGGCCTTCCTTTCTTTTGCTGTCCCTCCACTTTACCAAGCATGATGTCCTTCGCCAGGGTCTGGTCTCTCTGACAATAATTACAAAGTATCTAACATGAAATCTTGCCATCTTTCACTTTAAGGAGCACTCTGGACAACTTCTTCCAAGACAGACACGTTTGTCCTTTGAGCAGTTCATAGAACTTAAAATATTCTTCTCCAGCACCACAATTCAAATGCAGTGATTATTCTTTTGGTCTTCCTTATTCAAGGTCTAACCTTCATATGCATATGATGCAATGGAAAATACCATGGCTTGGGTCATATGCAACTTAATTCTCAAGGAGACATTCTCGCTTTTCAATACTCTAAAGAGGTCTTGTGTAGCAGCAGCTTTACCTTTTGATCTCTTGACTGCTGCTTCCGTGAGCAACAATTGTGGCTCTAAGCAAGATGACAGTAAATAAAGAGTGCTGGTGGCATAGTGGATTAGGACTTGGGCGGCTAACCACAGGTCAGCTGATAGAAAATAACAGCCATTCTGTAGGAGAAAGAGGAGGCTCTTTACTCTCATAAACAGTCTCAGATACCCACTGGGGCAATTCTACCATGTGCTATAGGGTCAGTATGAGTTGGAAATGACTTCATGGCAGTCAGTTTGGACACACAGTGGAGGATAGAATTCATCCAGAGGTACCTGAGAAGAAAGTGTAGCAATCTACGTACTTCCAAAATTACTCATTGAAAACCTTATAAAGCTCAGTTATACTTTTATACACATGGAGTTCTTATAAGTTGGAATCATCTTGACATCGAGTGGTATGAACCAAGGATGAAGAGGCTTTAAAAAGTTCATGGGAAAAAGAATGGAACTTTTCTATGAACTTTTTAAAGTCCCCTCATACTATTCTAAGTACGCACTGGGAGGCACTAGTGAATTAAACAAACTTCCAAGAGTATTTAAACTCATTGTCAGTACATAATAAACTCAACATGCAAGGAGAACAGTTTAAAAGAGATCAGGTCTTTAATTTTCCCAAATCACCTAAAGCATCATTTGGTCTAGCTAGATCACTATCTACCTTATTAACATTTTTCATATCATTCTTTAATTAAACTTTACTTTTGGATCAATGAAAAACAGCTCAGTGAAACCCCTATTTACATTAAGCAAGTCTATAAGGCTATTGTTCACCACATTACATTTAGGTTCTATTTAGTAGGACTTGTAGGGGAAATTTCCTCTGAGGTTTCAAGACTAGAAATGCATTTGTGTGCAATCAGTTTGTTTTAATTTTTTATTTTTTTCCAGTTTATTTTTAAATTATGAAATATTTTACCAAAATGAATATAATATTCATTTTATATATAAAGCATTAAAATATATGAAAATATATAAACAAAATAAAAGTGGATGGATGAATGAATGAATGAATGTATTCTTTTATTTTAAAGTCATTTTATTGGGGGCTCATACAACTCATCACAATCTATACATACATCAATTGTATAAAGCACATTTGTACATTTGTTACCCTCATTATTCTTTTTATTTTTTTAATTATTTTATTGAGAGCTTGTACCATTCTTATCAGAGTCCATACATACATCCATTGAGTCAAGCACGTATGTACACCTGTTGCCCTCATCAATCTCAAAACATTTACCCTCTACTTTAGCCCTCAATATCATTTGCTCATTTTCCCCCTCCCTCCTGAACCCTTCATAATTCATAAATTATTATAATTTTGTCATAAGTTACACTGTCCGACGTCTCCCTCCGCCCTCTTTGCTGTCCACCCCCCAGGGAGGAGTCTATACTTAGATTCTTGTAAGCTTCGCCCCTCTCACTACTGGTCCTGAAGGAGTCATCTATCCTGGATTCCCTGTGTTTCAAGTTGCTATCTGTACCAATGTATATCCTCTGGTCTAACCAGATTTGCAAGGCAGAATTGGGATCATGATACTGGGGGGGAGGAAGCATTAAAGAACTAGAGGAAAGTTATATGTTTCATCATTGCTACCCTGCACCCTGATTAGCTCGTCTCCTCCCCAAAACCCCTCAGCAGG